TCCACAACAATAGCTTGCTATTGGGGCTCTCAAGTGTCGCCCAAGCGTTGCACTATTGCATGGGCCTGGCGCACCCCACTAAATTTAGTCTAAAATTTTCTTTTATGATTATTGATCGAAATGGTTCTTCGACTATTGCTCGAGTTTTGTTTTGGTTGACCAATTAAAATTTTCATTTTAATAGTACTTCAATTCTCTGTTTAGTATCAAAATTGTCTTATTGTTAAAGTCTGTCAAATATTTTGATTTCAATAGTCCTTCAATTCTTCGTTTAGTATCAAAATTGTCTTACAACACTCGTTTTACTGCTGCGTACGAATAGCCTGATCAAAAGAAGATATGGGTTGTGTCATCAACAGAAGCCACATTTCTGGTAATGATCGATCTGCGAATAGGTTGGTGGATATGGTGGGATGAAGGAGAAGAGACGAAGGAATGGCTCGGGTAAGAGAATGGGGATTTAATGATAGAGCGAAATGGGGTTGTTCGAACAAGAAGACTACTCTCATCGTTTGCTCCACTAACATTGTTGTTGCTTATACGTTCGTTCTCTCTACGCTTCTCTGTACATATACTCCATCAACGTTGTTGTTGGATTGAATTAGTAGAGTGATTTGCTATAACTTTTATAATTTAACGGAGAACACTTGTTATGCTTAAAAGGTAAAGGCACTAGGAGCTTTCCAGAGATGCAGTGGTGGAATACCTTTGAAACTGAAGTTACCAATGAGATAGTTGAGAGGTTGAAAACCTTGAGGCCCAAAGCAAATTTTACTGAGCAGAGAGGAAGGTGGAAGACAGTGAACAAGTGTTTGTGGATACAATTGAAAGAGAGAAGAAGCCTTTGGCTCTGGTAGCTGGGTCCAGCAAAACTAGGGTTCTAATTTTGGGGAGCTTCTAACATATGGACAGTTTTACCCCTCAATTTAACGGTAAAATTGACAGACTTTGACGGTAGGACCATTTTGATACTAAATGGAGAGTTGGAGGACTATTGAAATGAAAATTTTAGTTGGTGGGCCAACATGAAACTCGAGCAATAGTTAAGGGACCATTTCGGTCAATAACCCTTTCTTTTATTTGTTACTACAAGAACATTCTGAAAAAGAAATAAACTGTATGGAACATAACGAATAATAAATTGTATTTCTTTATTTCAACACTTCATGTACTTAACAATGCCCTAGTATTGGGGATGGGGATAGGAATGACATACCCACCCCCAATTAAACCCATTGTCATTCCTAATATTGAGGATCATTGTTCTTCCATGAATTTGCAGACCAAGCCTTCAAAGTGCATGTCTTTGGGTCAGTATCTGAACCAAAATGTCATTTTATAAAGTAATTACAAATGTCGGCTTAAATTCTTTTGTTACAATGAAAGAGAAGCGAACTCTTTACTTATCATAATTCTTACTAATTTTTTGACTAACCCTCATCCCTTGAACTAATGTTAATGGCTTGAGGATTAAATTTGTGAATTTAGAAGTTAAGTGTTTATGTAGATTCATTAAGCTTGTCAAATTGTATGTGCCTTTGGCACTTTTTCCAAGTGATTGTGTTGAACTTAAAGTACCACATCGGAAATGCACAAGAAGTAGAGAGGGGGACTGATGTATTTAAAAGGAACAAGAGGCACTTCAAAACATACTTACCTGGACGGAGTCTATGGGCGATCAAGAAGGCTCATGGCCTAGGTTGGTGACCTCCATTGCACTTAGGAGGGGTGCCTGCCTATGGTCTCCTCATCATAGGAGAGCCAACGTCATAATTTGTTGCAGTGGGGGCCTGCGTTCGTGCGGCACCTTCCTCAATTCAATATCAACCTTATGTTGCTGGCTATCAAATAGGCTCATCCCTCGTTTTCCTCAAGTTGATTTTTTCTTTTTGTCTGGTATAATTGTTGGCTTAATTATGTACATGCCCCCTGTGCTTTCCAACTTATCTCAGATTACCACCTGTGGTGGAAAACGTCTCAAAGTACCCCCCAACGTGCAAAAAACTGTCTCACGTTACCCTTTCCGTCAGTTTTTTTGAAGTTCCGTTACGAATATTACTGTTCATCTCCCCCAAAATTCCAGAACAGTAGCCCCTCCCCTTTGTTACTGTTCATCGCTTATTTACCCTCCAAACTCAGAAATTTCTCCTAACCAACACAACTAGCAGCAAGAACAACTCGAGAGGTTGAAAAATCATACCTGGATCGAAGAAAATGGTGCTCGGAATCGCCCGAACGAGCAATGGAGATTTTGGGTAAAAACCGGCCAATTTCTTGCTTTTTTTCGGTGATCCAGACGACGGTTGGCAGCGGCTGAGATGTGAGGGTGGTAGAGGACAACGTGCTGGTTCTTTTGATATCCATGTCGTCGCTTGGGGTGGCCGGAGGAGGCGATGGCAGCCCAAAAACTGGTGCGATGAACAGTAACAAATGGGAGGAGCTGCTGTTCTGGAATTTTGGGGGAGATGAACAGTAACGTTCGTAACGGAACTTCAAAAAAACTAACGGAAAGGGTAACGTGAGACAGTTTTTTGCACGTTGGGGGGTACTTTGAGACGTTTTCCACCACAGGTGGTAATCTGAGATAAGTTGGAAAGCACAGGGGGCATGTACATAATTAAGCCATAATTGTTTGATATATCCAGCTGTGACAGAGTTTATTCTTAGCCCAAAAACATATATAAGAATTTATTCTAAATCAACATGTTCTTCTGCTAAAAAAAATCAGCATGTTTCTAGCCATTACTTTGCTTCCTCAAGTTGATTTTACTTTTGTTGGTTTAAGGTGTAATTCTTCAGCCGTTCGTTTATAAAGGTTTAATTACTGTTTAAAGTGAGACTGAGCGCCCATTTTAAGGGTAAAATAGTAATTAAATTTTATAAAATAGATGTATGTAGTTATATACCTATTATTAACACTAGTGATATAGATAAACCCTACACAATTTAATTTCTATAAACAAACTCAAAAGAAACCCAAAAAAGGACAATTGGTCCGGTTGAATTTAATTTTGATTATTAAATTATTTTGATGCTCTGTTGAGTGTTTTGAGTTTTTATTTATTGAGGTTTTGGGGTTGGGCTTGTTTTAAGAAACCGATGGCAATTTTGTAAGTTATAGGAAGTTCGAAGCCTCTTTGTTATGTTGTAAATGGGCTTTTTGGTGTATTTTTTCATGTATATTGAGTATAATAGTGAAAATAAAATATCATCATATATTTTGGAAATTTACTTAAGAATAAGCTTCTCTAGGGGAAGCTATCCCATTCTAACTAATGACATACTAAGGTCTTTTTGAGGACTTATAGAGGGAGTCTTAAGTCTTTTTTTGGGTTTTTACAAATTAAAGAAGAGATTGATTCTTACGAGCTCAACCAACTCTTGATGATGTCTATTTGTATTATTTGTAGCCTGAAGATAATTATGAAAAAGAAATAAACTGTCTATTTGTATTATTTGTAATTTGAAGAACATTCTGAAGAAAAAAAAACTGTCTCGAACATAACAAATTACAAATTGTATTTCTATATTTATAACACTACATGTCCTTGAATAATGCCACAAACCTTATTGAGTAAGATTGTTCTTCTAAATTTTTAGACCAAGCCTTCAAACTGCATGGCTCTGGGTCAGTATAGGAACCCAAATTATTTTTTACGGCTGAAAAGTCATTTTATAAAGCAATTAGAAGTATCGGTTTAAATTCTTTTGTTACAATGAAATAGAAGCGAACTCTTTACTTATCATAATTCTAATTAATTTTTTGACTCGTCCTCCTCACTTGAACTAATGTTAATGGCTTGAGGATTAAATTTGTGAATTTGATAGTTGAATGTTTCTCTAGATTAATTAAGCTTGTCAAATCGCATGCGTCTTTGGCACTTTTTTATGTATTTTTTAGCCACTGATTATGTCTAGCCTAAAGTACCACATCGGAAATGCAAAAGAAGTTGAGAGCGAGACTAATGTATTAAAAAGGAACGAGAGGCACTTCAAAACATACTTACCTGGACGGGGTCTATGAGTGATCAAGAAGGCTCATGGCCTAGGTTGGTGACCTCCATTGCACTTAGGAGGGGTGCCCGCCTATGGTCTCCTCAACGTAGGAGAGCCAACGTCATAATTTATTGTAGTGGGGGCCTGCGTTCGCGCGGCCCCTGCCTTAATTCAATATCAACTTTATGCAACTAGCTAGCAAAATAGGCTCATTCCACGTCTTTCTCAAGTTGATTTTACCTTTTTATCTGGTATAATTGTTTAATATATCCAGTTGTAACACGCAAAAATAATTATTAATTTGTCCCTTTAATTCTGCAGTGACATGCAAAAATAATTTTAGTAAAATTCAACTGGACCTTTTCTGTCAAACCATCCATAAGTGTTACATATTATGTTTTTATTTTATTAATATTTCATAAGTTAGTTCAATAATTAGAAAAAGAACTAGCGCCGTTGAGCAAAATGCCCGAGCAAGCTGTTAACGGGTCGAGGTGTAATTCTTAAACCGTTTGTTTATAAAGGTTTAATTACTGTTAAATTAAGACCGAGCGCCTATTTTAGAGGTAAAAGAAGCGAACTCTTTATCTATCGTAGGCCTAACTCATTTCTAGACTTATCCTCATCACTTGGAGAAATTATAGAATAGTACGGATGTACCACGTCAGCATGTGGTACTCCCATTCAAATATTGCCATGTGTCCATTTTAAAATAAAAATTAAACTTTTTTTTACAGCTGGATTTATTTCTTAATTTTTATCTTATGAAATAAAATTAGAAAATTGAAAAACTTAAGAAAAAGAGAATTCCCAATAACAACCCCTCCTGAACCAAACACCTCTAATCCCAAAAACATGCCATGACTACCACCCATCTCCACACTACCTACCATTATTGCCACCCATCTCCCTTCCTCTTCCTTTTTCCTTTTCCTTTTCAACCCTTATAGTAATTGTAGGTAATGGAGTATAAAGAGAGGTAGTGAAAACTAGTATTGATGATTATGATGATGATGATGGTGAAATGGAATAGTGGAAGCGTTGGTGTTTGTGTTAATGGTTGGGAAATGTTAGATTGAATGCAAAACAGAGAGACCCTTTGAGAGAATTGTTGTATTGTATTGACTGAAATAATTGTTACCAGGAGTTACAGTATTGGATCTAGGTTTGGAAATAGTATGATGATGGCAAAGGTTGTCATGATCAATTTCAGAGAAAGGGGAATTAAGGAAGATGAGGGTTTGGACGCCGGTGGCAATGGTGAAGAGGAAAAGAGACAGTGAGGAGGAAGAGAGAGGGATGGCATCTCGAACGCAATGGGGTTTTAGGGGAGGGGCGGTGGTGGGGAATAATTTTTTTTTCTTTTTCTGTTTTTCAAATTTAAAATTTTATTTCATAATATAAGTCCTGCTGTAAACAAATATTTAATTTCCGTTTTAAAATAGGCATATGGCAATAATTGAATGTATGCTGACGTGGTACATTCGTACCATTGTATAATTTCTCCATCACTTGAACTAATATCAAAGGCTTAAGATGATTAAATTTGTGAATTTGAAAAAGTTATATGATAGATTGATAATTAAGCGTTACGAATTATATTTTATGTTTATATTTTATTTTATTAATATTTCATAAGTTAGTTTAATAATTAGTCTGTATGATGAGATTCCCTTAATCCCTCATACAACGTGAGTAGTGGGCGCTGTTCAGTGGGATAGTTTGTTCTTTCTCACTTCTATTCTCCCTCTTTTTCCTCTATACTCTAGCACAAAAAATGAAAACTAAAAACTAAAATTGAAATGGTTATCAAACGGGTCCTAGCTTTGTTCAACATTAATATTTTGGTGCTAATGGGGTTTGTTCAAAATTAGATATTCTGTGAAGATTTTGTATGATGAATAGTGAAAACTAAGAAAAGAGTGAAGTTCTAAGCAATTTGGAATCGCACATAGTACAGTACACATACCAAACCTTGGCCACACCTTTTTCCCAAATTGCAAGCAGCCTTTTGCTTCTCTTATATGAGAAAATACAATCCGTTTTAAGAACGTGTATGTAATTGAATATCTTCGTTTTGTCGCCAATATTTAGCTTTGTCAATACATGTATGCATGTATAACCAAAATCAATTATGCTCTCAACCTTCGTAGCCCCCTTTTGCTGTTTGTAAATGTTGAACAGTCCCACATCGACTGGACCAATAACAATGGAAGTGAATGGCCCGATAAAATGAGAAACAAGAGATGTGAAAAAGCATACCTTTCTCGGCCTTTTGGCTAAGATCAAGTGTAGTATCTGTTCTTATCAGTTTAATATCTGATATGTGGGTCAATGACCCACACGATATTAAATTAATTTCTTTAGGGGGAGGGTCCACTACAATAGCTTGCTATTGGGGCTCTCAAGTGTCGCCCAAGCGTTGCACTATTGCATGGGCCTGAAGCACCCCCACTAAATTTAGTCTAAAATTTTCTTTTACAATTATTGCTCGAGTTTTATTTTGGTCGACCAATTAAAATTTTCATTTAAATAGTCTTTCAATTCTTTGTTTAGTATCAAAATTGTTTTTCCTGTAGAAGTCTGTCAAATATTTTGATTTCAATAGTCCTTCAATTCTCCGTTTAGTATTAAAAATAGTCCTTTAATTCTCCGTTTACAATCAAAATTGTCTTTCAACACTCATTTCACTGCTGTGTACAAATAGCCTAATCAGAAGAAGATACGGGCTGTGTCGTCAACAGAAGCCACATTTCTAGTAATGATCGATCTGTGAAGAGGTTGGTGGAATAGTGAAAACGAAGAAAAGAGTGTAATGTTCTAAGCAATTATTGCTCGAGTTTTATTTTGGTCGACCAATTAAAATTTTCATTTCAATAGTCCTTCAATTCTCTGTTTAGTATCAAACTTGTCTTATTGTTAAAGTCTGTCAAATATTTTGATTTCAATAGTCCTTAAATTCTTCGTTTAATATCAAAATTGTCTTACAACACTCGTTTCACTGCTGCGTACGAATAGCCTGATCAAAAGAAGATATGGGTTGTGTCGTCAACAGAAGCCTCATTTCTGGTAATGATCGATCTGTGAAGAGGTTGGTGGATATGGTGGGATGAAGGAGAAGAGACGAAGGAATGGCTCGGGTAAGAGAATGGGGATTTAATGATACAGCGAAATGGGGTTGTTCGAACAAGAAGACTACTCTCATCGTTTGCTCCACTAACATTGTTGTTGCTTATATGTTCGTTCTCTCTACGCTTCTCTGTACATATACTCCATCACGTTGTTGTTGGATTGAATTAGTAGAGTGATTTGCTATAACTTTTATAATTTAACGGAAAACACTTGTTATGCTTAAGAGGTAAAGGCACTAGGAGCTTTCCAGAGATGCAGTGGTGGAATGCCTTTGAAACTGAAGTTACCAATGAGATAGTTGAGAGGTTGAAACCCTTGAGGCCCAAAGCAAATTTTACTGAGCAGAGAGGAAGGTGGAAGACAGTGAACAAGTGTTTGTGGATACAATTGAAAGAGAGAAGAAGCCTTTGGCTCTGGTAGCTGGGTCCAGCAAAACTAGGGTTCTAATTTTGGGGAACTTCTAGCATATGGACAGTTTTACTCCTCAATTTAACGGTAAAATTGATAGACTTTGACAGTAGAACCATTTTGATACTAAATGGAGAGTTGGAGGACTATTGAAATGAAAATTTTAGTTGGTGGGCCAACATGAAACTCGAGCAATAGTTAGGGGACCATTTCGGTCAATAACCCTTTCTTTTATTTGTTACTACAAGAACATTCTGAAAAAGAAATAAACTGTATGGAACATAACGCATAACAAATTGTATTTCTTTATTTTAACACTTCCTGTACTTAACAATGCCCTAGTATTGGGGATGGGGATAGGAATGACATACCCACCCCCAATTCGACCCATTGTCATTCCTAATATTGAGGATCATTGTTCTTCCATGAATTTGCAGACCAAGCCTTCAAAGTGCATGTCTTTGGGTCAGTATGTGAACCTAAATGTCATTTTATAAAGTAATTACAAATGTCGGCTTAAATTCTTTTGTTACAATGAAAGAGAAGCGAACTCTTTACTCATCATAATTCTTACTAATTTTTTGACTAACCCTCATCACTTGAACTAATGTTAATGGCTTGAGGATTAAATTTGTGAATATAGAAGTTAAGTGTTCATGTAGATTCATTAAGCTTGTCAAATTGTATGTGCCTTTGGCACTTTTTCCAAGTGATTGTGTTGAACTTAAAGTGCCACATCGGAAATGCACAAGAAGTAGAGAGCGGGACTGATGTATTTAAAAGGAACAAGAGGCACTTCAAAACATACTTACCTGGACGGAGTCTATGGGCGATCAGAAGGCTCATGGCCTAGGTTGGTGACCTCCATTGCACTTAGGAGGGGTGCCTGCCTATGGTCTCCTCAACGTAGGAGAGCCAACGTCATAATTTGTTGCAGTGGGGGCCTGCATTCGCGCGGCCCCTTCCTCAATTCAATATCAACCTTAAGTTTTTGGCTATCAAAATAGTCCCATCCCTCGTTTTCCTCGAGTTGATTTTTTCTTTTTGTCTGGTATAATTGGATATATCCAGCTGTGACAGAGTTTATTCTTAGCCCAAAAACATATATAAGAATTTATTCTAAATCAACATGTTCTTTTGCTAAAAAAATCAGCATGTTTCTAGCCGTTACTTTGCTTCCTCAAGTTGATTTTACTTTTGTTGGTTCAAGGTGTAATTCTTCAGCCGTTCGTTTATAAAGGTTTAATTACTGTTAAAGTGAGACTGAGCGCCCATTTTAATGGGAAAATAGTAATTAAATCTTTATAAAATAGATGTATGTAGTTATATACCTATTATTAACACTAGTGAGATAGATAAACCCTACAACATTTAAATTCTATAAACAAACCCAAAAGAAACCCAAGAAAGGACAATTGGTTCAGTTGAATTTAATTTTTATTATTAAATTATTTTGATGCTCTGTTGAGTGTTTTGAGTTTTTATTTATTGAGGTTTTGGGGTTGGGCTTGGTTTAAGAAACCGATGGCAGTTTTGTAAGTTGTAGGAAGTTCGAAGCCTCTTTGTTATGTTGTAAATGGGCTTTTTGGTGTATTTCTAAAGTCAATTTCATGTATGATTTAAAAAAAAATAAATATAATTTGGGCCCCTATATTGAGTATAATAGTGAAACTCCCTATAAAATATCATCATATATTTTGGAAATTTACTTAAGAATAAGCTTCTATAGGGGAAGCTATCCCATTCTAACTAATGATATACTAAGGTCTTTTTGAGGACTTATAGAGGGAGTCTTAATTCTTTTTTTGGGTTTTTACGGATAAAAGAAGAGACTGATTCTTACGAGCTCAACCAACTCTTGATGATGTCTATTTGTATTATTTGTAACCTGAAGAAAATTATGAAAAAGAAATAAACTGTCTATTTGTGTTATTTGTAATTTGAAGAACATTCTGAAGAAAAAAAAATAAACTGTCTCTAACATAACAAATTACAAATTGTATTTCTATATTTATAACACTACATGTCCTTGAATAATGCCACAAACCTTATTGAGTAAGATTGTTCTTCTAAATTTTTAGACCAAGCCTTCAAACTGCATGGTAATAAATCAACATGAGGCCTATTGATGGGTCGAGAAATGGAAGTCTCAGGTTGCTTGAGAGCCTCGAGACTCAAGCGCATTTCTTAGGACCAAACATATGGGTGAGCACAAAAGAGGAAATAGCCCATTAGCTTAACCAAATTAGCCTAACACCTCAACAAAAATAGTCCAACACTTGTTGAGGTTAGCCCATTTATTTTGACAAACCAACCCATTATCTTAGAAGGCCCACACAATTAGAAAAGAGAAGAAGCCAAAGCCTCAGCTCCTTGAAAAAAAAAAAAAAAAAAAAAAAAACAACGAAGGAGATGTCCACATATGCAGAGTTGCTGGAAAGGAACAAGTTCCAAGCACAAAACACTCGAAGAACCAAGGGATATTAACGTGCAAGCTGCCAGGAAGAGAAGCACTCTTCGAACCAGCATACATACCCCAATTCCTTCCCCCATCAGACCTGGCCATGGAAAAAGGAAAGAAAGAAAAGGAGGAGATGGCTGGGAATGGAAGTCTCCCACTGAAACAGCTGCGGGAAAGGGGGCCTTGAGCTCCCAAAATTCCTGATTTTGTGCAAATAGATAGAAGAAATTTCACCAAGATAGAAAAGTCAAGGGAGGACAGGAGAAAGGAAGAAAAATCTTGGCCAAGTTGGGAAGAAACCATTAAGGTTTCTTGGGAAAGGACAGTTTCCAACAAGCTATAAAATGAGGCCTCTTCTACCCAACAAAAGGGAACTCAGATTCAGAGAGCAAGCTTTCTCTCTTACCTGCAAAAACCCAGCAATTTCGTGCACTATTCACCCTTCTTCTCCATTTTCCTCTTTTGGCAGACCATTCTGTCAGAAGCTTTGTTAAGCTGTCGGAAGAACATTGTTCTTTCTTTCTCTCTTCTTAGCCAAATCAGCCTGCAAACCTCTTCTTCCTCACCTTAAACACTCCTATTTCTCCCTAGGAACCCATATTTTCCTCTTTGGTGCTAAACTCATGCTGATTTTGCTTCCATGCCACAAGCCTCTCATGCAAAGCTAGAAAATATATCTGTAAGCAGCCATTATTTTCGTTGGTGAAGGTAACCAGAACGTTTCCTAAGGTTCTACTGCCCTTTCGAAGCGCTTTTGGGGCTCGATTTTCGCACTCAGACACAGGGGCAATTTCAGCAATTTCCCTTTTACGGCGGCCCAGCCCATTTGCAGCTGCCGGAAGAAAAAAGCCCCTACAGCTATCACAGACAAATCTTCTTGTACATGCTGCTTAAAAGTTCCCATGTTGAGTAGCATATCTCTGAGCTAACCATGTTGAGTTAGCATGAAAGTTGTGATCAACTGTCCCACAACCATGCTCGTCAACCAACTTCTTCACTTGAACCCATTCACTACCATTCACTGCTGAAGCAAAACAAACCTAGTTACAATTTCCTGCAGACATTGCCCTCACCCTATCACGATCATTGCATTTGAATTTAATCATCCTCGTGTTCACAACTGAATAGTTCCTAATTGCTTTCCTAGATAGGTCAGTGGTTGCAAACCTTAAACCCAGCTTGAACATAGGGTTACACATGTCTATTTTAGGCCTAAATTCTTGTAATTTAGGCAATTTCTTCTTCCTTTTCTTCTGGTTCCCATCATCCTCATCATGTGAGCTACTATCCAAGCTCTCAACATCACTTTTAACTATATCAGTTGACTCCTGATCTTCATCTACAGGGGCATTTAGGTCTTCAACTACTTCTGGCTGGTTTACATAACTTTCAAATGCTTTATCGTCATTTTTCAACAACTCACATTCATTTTCACCCTGCTCATAAGCACTATCAACAAAATCAGGGTCCTCTTCCTTGTCTTCTTCTTCACTATCTTCACTGTCTTCCACATCAATCTCACCTATATCAGCCCTACTACCCTCATTGTTCAGGGGCCCATCATCATCACTTGAAACCCAATCTTCAACTTTGCAAGTAGGCCCATGATCCTCAGTAAAAGGCCGACCCTCTTTATCATTATTCAGTGGCTCATTGCCTTCAGTAAAAGCCCCATTTTCATCATTAATAGGCCCAATATTCTCACTATCCTCATTCAATGCCACACCTACCTCTTCACTAGCCTCATTCACTGCAACACCTTCCTCTTCAATTTGTTGTACATAAATCAACACCACTCCCTCATAAGAAAGTGGTACCTTATCACATAAACTTAACAACTCACCATCCTTGTCTATATCCAGTAACTCATCATTTACTACTCCTTTAAGAGATACTTTGCACATTCGCCCAAGCAGTTGCACTTGCTCCCACATCTCTAACATATTTATATACTCTATAGTACACCAATCCAAATATCCTACAGACCCAACAGTATAACACCACTTATTCTGTTTGTTTTTCACAATTCTACCACCATGATGCACTTCGAAGGTCACCAACTCTTTGTCCTCTACACAGAAACAAAAAGGGTTTGTTTTTAACAAAAGCAAAATAATATTCTAAGCCACTCATTAAAAGCATGACAACAACCATGGTTTGATTAACATATTCAAAGCCAACTAGAAGAAAACAAAAACGGGACCACATCAGGAAAGGTATACTGCTTTAGAACCCCCTTTACCGACAACACATAACACAAAAAGACCTAAACACTATCAATTTCTACACAATGCACATCACTATCACATCAAGATTCTTTTCCATGTCACAGGACAAGATTCCTTTTCAGAAAATAGGTCCCTTTTCAGAAGAATCACTTACCGCACACAAGTTTCCATGTTCCTGCTTCTTGCCAAATGGGTATCGTCGTCGAGTCGAGTCGCGTTGCGTCGCTTCTTCTTGCCTTCAAGTTGTCGAAACCAACTGAGAGCGCTCTCCCTCTCTCGATCCTTATTCTCAAACCCTAGCTCTAAAATCCCCAAATCTCAATTTACCCTCCCAATCTGATTTTATGTTTTCATTTTTGAGTTCTCAAAGATTATCTTGGCTATTTTGTTAGAGATGGGTCCCTAATTCCACATCAGCGAGCAATCAAGCCGTTTGAGCTATATTAGATGTTAGAGGTGGGGTCCACATGTACACGTCACACCCTCATATTGGTGGGAAAAATCTCAACTCAGTTGAATTGACCAAACTACCCCTACCACGTCATTAGTTTAACGGAATTTGAAATGGCGTTGATGGAATGTGGTTTAGTGAAACACGAAACATTGGTCAAGGGGGTGAAGTGGGTCACTTTAACTTTGAGAGAGTAAAGTGAGAATTGACCAATGTTCCAGGGGGTACTGTAGCATTTAAGCCATTTTTATTTTAGTGTTTAAGGGAGGGGTAACTAATGACATACTAAGGCCTTTTTTAGACTTATAGAGGGAGTCTTAAGTCTTTTTTTTGGTTTTTACAGATTTAAGAAGGGGCCGATTCTTACGAGCTCAACCAACTCTTAATGATGTCTATTTGCATTATTTGTAACCTGAAGAAAATTCTGAAAAAGAAATAAACTATCTATTTGCATTGTTTGTAATTTGAAGAACATTCTGAAGAAAAAAATATAAACTATCTCGTAGATAACAAATCACAAATTGTATTTCTATATTTATAACACTACACGTACTTGAATAATGCCACAAACCTTATTGAGTAAGATTGTTCTTCTGAATTTGCAGACCAAGCCTTCAAACTGCATGGCTCTGGGTCAGTATGTGAACCCAAATTATTTTTTATGGTTGAAAAGTAATTTTATAAAGCAATTAGAAGTATCGGTTTAAATTCTTTTGTTACAATGAAATAGAAGCGAACTCTTTACTTATCATAATTCTAATTAATTTTTTCACTCGTCCTCCTCACTTGAACTATTGATAATGGTTTGAGGATTAAATTTGTGAATTTGAAAAGTTGAGTGTTTCTCTAGATTAATTAAGCTTGTCAAATCGCATGTGTCTTTGGCACTTTTTTCAGCATTTTTTAGCCAGTGATTATGTCTAGCCTAAAGTACCACATCGGAAATGCACAAGAAGTTGAGAGCGAGACTAATGTATTAAAAAGGAACGAGAGGCACTTCAAAACATACTTACCTGGACGGGGTCTATGAGCGATCAAGAAGGCTCATGGCCTAGATTGGTGACCTCCATTGCACTTAGGAGGGGTGCCCGCCTATGGTCTCCTCAACGTAGGAGAGCCAATGTCATAATTTATTGTAGTGGGGGCCTGCGTTCGCGCGGCCCCTGCCTTAATTCAATATCAACTTTATGCAACTAGCTAGCAAAATAGGCTCATTCCATGTCTTTCTCAAGTTGATTTTACCTTTTTGTCTGGTATAATTGTTTAATATATCCAGTTGTAGCATGCAAAAATAATCATTAATTTGTCCCTTCAATTCTGCAGTGACATGCAAAAATAATGTTTGGTAAAATTCAACTGGACCATTTCTGTCAAACCATCCATAAATTGCTTCGTCAATATCAATCCTTGCATATTATAAATTTATAAATAAGTGTTACATATTATGTTTTTATTTTATTAATATTTCATAAGTTAGTTTAACAATTAGAAAAAGAACTAGCGCCGTCGAGCAAAATGCCGTAGCAAGCTGTTAACGGGTCGAGGTGTAATTCTTAAACCGTTTGTTTATAAAAGGTTTAATTACTGTTAAAGTAAGACCGAGCGCCTATTTTAGAGGTAAAAGAAGCGAACTCTTTATCTATCGTAGGCCTAACTCATTTCCAGACTTACCTTCATCACTTGAACTAATATCAAAGGCTTAAGATGATTAAATTTGTGAATTTGAAAAAGTTATATGATAGATTGATAATTAAGCGTTATGAATTATATTTTGTTTTTATTTTATTTTATTAATATTTCATAAGTTAGTTTAATAATTAGTCTGTATGATGAGATTCCCTTAATCCCTCATACAACGTGAGTAGTGGGCGCTGTTCAGTGGGATAGTTTGTTCTTTCTCACTTCTATTCTCCCTCTTTTTCCTCTATACTCTAGCACAAAAAATGAAAACTAAAAACTAAAATTGAAATGGTTATCAAACGGGTCCTAGCTTTGTTCAACATTAATATTTTGGTGCTAATGGGGTTTGTTCAAAATTAGATATTCTGTGAAGATTTTGTATGATGAATAGTGAAAACTAAGAAAAGAGTGAAGTTCTAAGCAATTTGGAATCGCACTTAGTACAGTACACATACCAAACCTTGGCCACACCTTTTTCCCAAATTGCAAGCAGCCTTTTGCTTCTCTTATATGAGAAAATACAATCCGTTTTAAGAACGTGTATGTAATTGAATATCTTCGTTTTGTCGCCAATATTTTAGCTTTGTCAATACATGTATGCATGTATAACCAAAATCAATTATGCTCTCAACCTTCGTAGCCCCCTTTTGCTGTTTGTAAATGTTGAACAGTCCCACATCGACTGGACCAATAACAATGGAAGTGAATGGCCCGATAAAAAGAGAAACAAGAGATGTGAAAAAGCATACCTTTCTCGGCCTTTTGGCTAAGATCAAGTGTAGTATCTGTTCTTATCAGTTTAATATCTGATATGTGGGTCAATGACCCACACGATATTAAATTAATTTCTTTAGGGGGAGGGTCCACTACAATAGCTTGCTATTGGGGCTCTCAAGTGTCGCCCAAGCGTTGCACTATTGCATGGGCCTGGCGCACCCCACTAAATTTAGTCTAAAATTTTCTTTTACAATTATTGCTCGAGTTTTATTTTGGTCGACCAATTAAAATTTTCATTTAAATAGTCCTTTAATTCTTTGTTTAGTATCAAAATTGTCTTTACTGTAGAAGTCTGTCAAATATTTTGATGTCAATAGTCCTTCAATTCTCCGTTTAGTATTAAAAATAGTCCTTCAATTCTCCGTTTACAATCAAAATTGTCTTTCAACACTCATTTCACTGCTGTGTACAAATAGCCTAATCAAAAGAAGATACGGGCTGTGTCGTCAATAGAAGCCACATTTCTAGTAATGATCGATCTGTGAAGAGGTTGGTGGAATAGTGAAAACGAAGAAAAGAGTGTAATGTTCTAAGCAATTGGGAACCGTCCATAGTGAAAACCAAAAAACCCCAAATTGGCTTCCTGTAAAACCCTAGAAATCAGAGGTTGGGTTTCCACGAAAATTGAAGATGAAGACTAAAATAGTTGACAGAGGGGAAGAGTTGGATGTGGCGGCACCGCATTGCTTTTGTGGGAAGATAGCTCGCTTACAAACTTCATGGACTGAGGCGAACCCACTTTGAAGATTCCATGTTTGTCCAAACTCATCAGGGGTAAGTTATGTTGTTGAAAGTTTGTGAATCCGGTTAAAATTTTTTATTAATTGGTATTAATGGTTGATGCAGAGGAGGAAAAAAGGATGTGAGTTTTTTGTTTGGGTGAATGTTGAATTTCGACCTAGAGAGAAGGCTCTGGTGAGTTGGCTACTTAGAAGATTGAAGGAACTTGAAAAGGACGTTGGGCATCGTCAAGCAAGAGAAAGAAAGTTGATGGGTTGGCTTATTCTTTCATGGGGTTTAGTAATGGTGGTATTGTTTTGGCAATTTCTGTAACAACTTGGCACAAAATGTGGCCATTGCTATGGAGGAATTAGGCAGATTATAGAAGTCTGTATTTTGCAATTGTATGTAAAATATCATGTATTAGTAGCTATGTAATGATGGAGGAACATGGTTTGAATTTGCAACTGGATGTAACAATGTATTGGTACTTATGTAATGAATGTGGTTGTTGAACACAATGTGGGAGTTACTTATTGGATTTTGACCTCATATGTAATTGTACGAAAAGCGTTATCAAATCAATAGTACCACAAACACTTGCAACAGTTCATAACAGACAATCATGAGTTTTATAACACTGATCAAACCCTCATAGTTTATAACATTACTAATAAAGTTCTTAATAGTTGGACTTGCAAAATAATAGTTCAATCAAAAGCCCCATTTGAATAGGGTTGTCCTTAACAGTTGTACGTGCAAAATAAAAGTGGAATGAAAAGGTCTTCATAAGAGGAATTTTAACAAAACCCAGAACACTTGCACATGATCAGAATCTCCAAGGCTGATAACCATCCAACAAATCCTTCCGATTGGTAAATTTCTTCCTCTTGGCAGGAGATTTGAACCACTTTTTTCTTGTACCACTAGCAAAAGGGTGTGATGAGCTTGCACTTGGTTGAGATCCTTGCACAGGTTGAGAAGTTTGGGCATGTTGAAAACTTTGGCCAGTTTGAGAAACTGGACAAGCTTGCACAGATTCAGTTTCTTGCACAGTTTGAGAGCTATCCTTCTTTTTGGGAAATTTAATCCTCTTTGCAGGAGGCTTAAACTTTTTTTTTTTTTTTTTTTTTTGGGAGTATCTGAAACTTGGGCAGTTTGAGAAGTTGGGCCAATTTGAGATGCTTGTGCAGTTTCTAAAGGTTGGGCAGTTTGAGATGCTGGGGCTGGGGTAGTTTGGGAAGCTTGGGCTGTTTCAGATCCACAACCATGTGGAGTTTGAGAACACTAGCCAGTTTGAGAACACTGGCCAGTTTCCAACCTTCTTCTCACCTAAAAATTGAAAAGGATTCCAATTTACATCAACTACATCTCATACCTCTTCCTCTTAATATCAATAAAGATAAAGTCACTTACAGGTTGCTTGGCTCTTGATTGTCTTGTAACCCTTTTGGCTGATGTCGTATCTTGGGCAGATTTCTTCACCTTTCGTTTACATAGGACCTAACATAAAAAGAGAATCACTTGAAAATAAATAAATAATAAAGATCCAAAACAAAAATGCATTGCCAATGTCTTTTTGGAAGAGACAAACCTGACTGTTGCTGCCTTCTTTTGCCTTAGGGCAACTCCTCATATTATGGCTTCCTTGTCTACAAAGTGAACACTTGGTTTCCAAGTTATACCTCTGCAACTTGGTGGCTGTATGATTAGATTTGCTTGGTTGTTCACCTGCCGACCTCATCCTCTTCTTCCTTGGTCTTCCAGGTTGTTTGTGATAAAGTGGTGGCATCAAAGGAGGCCTATGACACTTAGGCCACAAGTCTTCACTTATCATTGGATGAACCATTGGACTATAAGCTCTCATAAAGGCCTCCTTCTTGTAACAAGCATCAACATAAGCAATATGATCCCCATTTAATTGGCCAATGGCAGCACATGCATGCTTGCATAGGATCCCAATAATATCCCATCTCCTACATGAACAACAATGTCTTGCCAAATCAACCACAACCTAACTTCCATCATGGTTTTTGACCTCATATAAACTATCCCCAGCAAGCTTTGGAATGCACCAAGCTGATTCTTTCTTCGTTTTCTCCAAAATCCCAAAAATCCTTGGACCAATGACATGTTTCCATTTCTCACAAGATGCTCTTCTAGTTGCCATTAACAACATAATATAGTATCTAATTCTCTCTAGCATGGTTAAAATAGGTTTGTCTCGTACCTCTACAAGGGCACTGTTAAAGCCTCACACATGTTATTCAAAAGGATGTCACACTTGAAATGAGTTTTAAAGTGAGCTCTACACCATTGTGATGGATCTAAAGCCGCCACCCAATCAAATGAAGCTTGGCTCAGCTGTCTCATCTTTTTCATCTCAGCATCCCACCATGGGATGGTTATGCTCCTTGCGATTTTCTCCATTTGCAATTTCAACACCAATCCTCTGTGACTAGCAAACAAAAAATTTGCTTCTAAGTGTTTGAGGCAATGTATGTGCTCAGCGTTTGGAAAATGATCATGTACTGCATCAATCAAGCCTTTTTGCTTGTCTGTGATAAAGACATATCCTCTGCTATTTTCGATTCCAAGCTCCTTTGCCAACAGTTGACGAAACCATGACCATGTTTCATAATTGTTCACCTCAACCACTATATACGCAATAGGATACATGCATTGTTAGGATCCACACCAACAACATATAACAATTGTCCAGGGTAATGACCTTTCATATGACAAGCATCAAATTCTGTAACTGGCCTACATCCCTGCAAAAACTCTTGTTTAACTGCAGCTAAGCAAATGTAAATCCTCTGAAACCATGGCCTTTCACCCTCCAACTCACATTTGATAATGACTGTGCTACCCACATTTGTCCTTAGTTCAGCAGCATAATCCCATAATAATTCATATTATTTTTCAAAAGTCCCCTCATATATGGATGTTGTCTTCTGCCTTGCCCTATATATTTGGGATTTCGAAGCTATTGTTGAGGCCCAAAAATCCACGCTTCGATCCAAATAAATTCTCGGCCCAATGCGATACCTTACTGAGAAGAAACCCGATTTGGGCATGCGAAAGTTCATCATATGTGCTTGCACACACGCCACGCCAAGCAAGGAATTATTATTCCGCTCCTAATCACGCCACAAGCTTAAGTGGGCCCCAAGCCACTCAAATACCCGGGGCTTGCTTGATTGGGTTGTGGTATGGATGATAATAAATCAACATGAGGCCCATTGATGGGCCGAGAAATGGAAGTCTCAGGTTGCTTGGGAGCCTCGAGACTCAAGCGCATTTCTTAGGACCAAACATATGGGTGAGCACAAAAGAGGAAATAGCCCATTAGCTTAACCAAATTAGCCTAACACCTCAACAAAAATAGTCCAACACTTGTTGAGGTTAGCCTATTTATTTTGACAAACCAACCCATTATCTTAGAAGGCCCATACAATTAGAAAAGAGAAGAAGCCAAAGCCTCAGCTCCTTGAAAAAAAAAAAAAAAAAAAAAAAAGATGTCCACATATGCAAAGTTGCTGGAAAGGAACAAGTTCCAAGCACAAAACACCCGAAGAACCAAGGGATATTAACGTGCAAGCTGCCAGGAAGAGAAGCACTCTTCGAACCAGCATACATACCCCAATTCCTTCCCCCATCAGACCTGGCCATGGAAAAAGGAAAGAAAGAAAGGGAGGAGATGGCTGGGAATGGAAGTTTCCCACTGAAACAGCTGCGAGAAAGGGGTCTTGAGCTCCCAAAATTCATGATTTTGTGCAAATAGATAGAGGAAATTTCACCAAGATAGAAAAGTCAAGGGAGGAGAGGAGAAAGGAAGAAAAATCTTGGCCAAGTTGGGAAGAAACCATTAGGGTTTCTTGGGAAAGGATAGTTTCCAACAAGCTATAAAATGAGGCATCTTCTACCCAACAAAAGGGAACTCAGATTCAGAGAGCAAGCTTTCTCTCTTACCTGCAAAAACCCAGCAATTTCGTGCACTATTCACCCTTCTTCTCCATTTTCCTCTTATGGCAAACCACTTTCACATTTGTCAGAAGCTTTGTTAAGCTGTCGGAAGAACATTGTTCTTTCTTTTTCTCTTCTCAGCCAAATCAGCCTGCAAACCTCTTCTTCCTCACCTTAAACACTCCCATTTCTCCCTAGGAAGCCATATTCTCCTCTTTGGTGCTAAACTCATGCTGATTTTGCTTCCATGCCACAAGCTTCTCATGCCAAGCTAGAAAATTTATCTGTAAGCATCAAGAAATTATCTGTAAGCAGCCATTATTTTCGATGGTGAAGGTAACCAGAAAGTTTCCTAAGGTTCTACTGCCCTTTCAAAGCGCTTTTGGGGCTTGATTTTCGAACTCAGACACATGGGGCAATTTCAGCAATTTCCCTTTTACGGCGGCCCAGCCCATTTGCAGCTATCGGAAGAAAAAAGCCCCTACAGCTATCACAGACAAATCTTCTTGTACCTGCTGCTTAAAAGTTCAAAAGTTCCCATGTTGAGTTAGCATGAAAGTTGTGATCAACTGTCCCACAATCATGCTCGTCAACCAACTTCTTCACTTGAACCTATTCACTACCATTCACTCTTGAAGCAAAACAAACCCAGTTACAATTTCCTGCACACATTGCCTACCCTTATCACGATCATTGAATTTGAATTTAATCATCCTCCTATTCACAATTGAATAGTTCCTAATTGCTTTCCTGGATAGGTCAGTGGTTGCAAATCTTAAACCCAACTTAAACACAGGGTTGCACATGTCTATTTTAGGCATAAATTCTTGAAATTTAGGCAATTTCTTCTTCCTTTTCTTCTGGTTCCCATCATCCTCATCATGTGAGCTACTATCCAAGCTCTCAACATCACTTTTAACTACATCAGTTGACTCCCGATCTTCATCTACAGGGGCATGTAGGTCTTCAACTACTTCTGGCTGGTTTACATAACTTTCAAATGCTTTATCGTCATTTTTCAACAACTCACATTCATTTTCACTCTGCTCATAAGCACTATCAGCAAAATCAAGGTCCTCTTCCTTGTCTTCTTCTTCACTATCTTCACTATCTTCCACATCAGTCTCACCTATATCATCTCTACTACCCTCATTGTTCAGAGGCCCATCATCATCACTTGAAACCCAATCTTCAACTTTGCAAGCAGGCCCATGATCCTCAGTAAAAGGCCGACCCTCTTTATCATTGTTCAATGGCCCATTGCCTTCAGTAAAAGCCCCATTTTCATCACTAACAGGCCCAATATTCTCACTATCCTCATTCAATGCCACACCTACCTCTTCACAAGCCTCATTCACTGCAACACCTTCCTCTTCAATGTGTTGTACATAAATCAACACCACTCCCTCATAAGAAAGTGGTACCTTATCACACAAACTTAACAACTCACCATCCATGTCTATATCCAGTAACTCATCATTTACTACTCCTTTAAGGGATACTTTCCCCATGCGCCCAAGCATTTGCACTTGCTCCCACATCCCTAACATATTTATATATTCTATAGTACACCAATCCAAATATCCTACAAACCCACCAGTATAACACCGTTTATTCAGTTTGTTTTTCACAATTCTACCACCATGATGCACTTCAAAGGTGACCAATTCTTTGTCCTCTACACAGAAACAAAAAGGGTTTGTTTTTAACAAAAGAAAAATAATATTCTAAGCCACTTATTAGAAGCAAGACAACAACCATGGTTCGATTAACATATTCAAAGCCAACTAGAAGAAAACAAAAACGGGACCACATCAGGAATGGTATACTGCTTTAGAACCCACACTGTCGACAACACATGACACAAAAATACCTAAACCCTATCAATTTCTACACAATGCGCATCACTATCATGTCAAGATTCTTTTTCATGTCACAGGACAAGATTCCTTTTCAGAAAACAGGTCCCTTTTCAGAAGAATCACTTACCGTACACAAGTTTCCATGTTCCTGCTTCTTGCCAAACGGGTATCGTCGTCAAGTCGAGTCGTGTTGCGTCGCTTCTTCTTGCCTTCAAGTTGTTGAAACCAACTGAGAGCGCTCTCCCTCTCTCGATCCTTATTCTCAAACCATAGCTTTAAAATCCCCAAATCTCAATTTACCCTCCCAATCTGATTTTCTGTTTTCATTTTTGAGTTCTCAAAGATTATCTTGGCTGTTTTGTTAGAGATGGGTCCCTAATTCCACATCAGCAAGCAATCAAGCCGTTTAAGCTATATTAGATGTTAGAGGTGGGGTCCACATGTACACGTCACACCCTTAGATTGGTGGGAAAAATCTCAGCTATGTTGAGTTGACCAAACTACCCCTACCATGTCATTAGTTTAACTGAATTTGAAATGGCGTTGACGGAATGTGGTTAAGTGAAACACGAAACATTGGTCACGGGGGCGAAGTGGGTCACTTTAACTTTGAGGGAGTAAAGTGAGAATTGACCAATGTTCCAGGGGGCACTGTAGCATTTAAGCCATTTTTATTTTAGTGTTTAAGGGAGGGGTAACTAATGACATACTAAAGCCTTTTTGAGGACTTATAGAGGGAGTCTTAAGTCTTTTTTTGGGTTTTTACAGATTAAAGAAGAGACCGATTCTTACGAGCTCAACCAACTCTTGATGATATCTATTTGTATTATTTGTAACCTGAAGAAAATTCTGAAAAAGAAATAAACTGTCTATTTGCATTATTTGTAATTTGAAGAACATTCTGAAGAAAAAAAAACGTTGTCTCGGAGATAACAAATCACAAATTGTATTTCTAAATTTATAACACTACATGTACTTGAATAATGCCACAAACCTTATTGAGTAAGATTGTTCTTCTAAATTTGCAGACCAAGCCTTCAAACTGCATGGCTCTGGGTCAGTATGTGAACCCAAATTATTTTTTATGGTTGAAAAGTCATTTTATAAAGCAATTAGAAGTATCAGTTTAAATTCTTTTGTTACAATGAAATAGAAGCGAACTCTTTACTTATCATAATTCTAATTAATTTTTTGACTCGTCCTCCTCACTTGAACTAATGTTAATGGCTTGAGGATTAAATTTGTGTATTTGAAAGTTGAGTGTTTCTCTAGATTAATTAAGCTTGTCAAATCGCATGCGTCTTTGGCACTTTTTTCAAGATTTTTTAGCCAGTGATTATGTCTAGCCTAAAGTACCGCATCGGAAATGCACAAGAAGTTGAGAGCGAGACTAACGTATTAAAAAGGAACGAGGGGCACTTCAAAACATACATACCTGGACGGGATCTATGAGCGATCAAGAAGGCTCATGGCCTAGGTTGGTGACCTCCATTGCACTTAGGAGGGGTGCCTGCCTATGGTCTCCTCAATGTAGGAGAGCCAAAGTCATAATTTATTGTAGTGGGGGCCTGCGTTCGTGCGGCCCCTGCCTTAATTCGACATCGACTTTATGCAACTAGCTAGAAAAATAGGCTCATTCCATGTCTTTCTCAAGTTGATTTTACCTTTTTGTCTGGTATAATTGTTTAATATATCCAGTTGTAGCATGCAAAAATAATTATTAATTTGTCCCTTCAATTCTGCAGTGACATGCAAAAATAATTTTTAGTAAAATTCAACTAGACCTTTTCTGTCAAACCATCCATAAATTGCTTCGTCAATATCAATCCTTGCATATTATAAATTTAT